TTTCAAAAGGCTATCCACCACACTGGCGGGTGAATGTTCATACCAAAATAGTAATGTAATAATCAGTGTTTTCCCTACAATGTATTCATCAGCACCGCTGCAAAATCTTTCCATGATCAGTAATATCGCGACATTCACTTACACTCTTACACTGAGACACGCCCGGCCGCCCGTTTTTCCAAGCGCGCCTCTGTTCATGGTTGCATAGCAACGTCGGCCACGCGAGTGCTTGTGGAAAGGAGAAAGCGCGGTACGAACTGCAAAGTCACCGATCTGCAGCTAGCTGCCACTTATTAGCTGTTACGTGGTGACATTTACCAGGAGTGAGCCAACCTTTAAAACGAAAACCCACAGACGAAAAGGGGGACGAATTACATAAAAAAAAAAAGTTTTGTGAGAAATGGAGGTTTGGAGAGAACGGAGTTTCAAGAGGCTGGCTACAATATGATTCTGACGCGGTCGTGATGAGTTGTTCTATGTGTCGCCAGTATGCTAAAGATAAAAACAGAAACAACTCATTTGTCATCGGAAATAAAACGATGAAACTTGAGAACATTCGTGACCATGAACACAGTAAGTGTCACATTGCCTGCGTGTCTGTGTCTCTGTGTCAATCTGAGCCTCTACTCTCGAAAACTTCTGTGACAGCGCTAATGGCAATGTCAGAGCAGACCAGCAAGAAGATGAAGCTACTGTTTAGGACTGTACATGCCATTGGCAAGAAGGCCAGGCCACTTTCTGACTTCGAGTGGATGTGCGAGTAAGTGAAACAGTTTTTCTTCCTGTAATGTTTGCTAGACTAACATTTTATATGAAGCTATGGTAGGGTGACCATCAGTCCTGTTTTCCCAGGACATGTCCTGTTTTCACCTCCTGTCCTGGCCGCCCTGGCTGTTTTTGTTTTTATAAATGAATACATTTTCAAATAACCGCTGGGAAAGATCAGCTCTACAGCAAAATATATGGGCAAAAATGGAGGATGAGGAAGAAAAACAGGATAAAGAGGAAGAAAACTAAAGATATAAATATATTTTGTTAGTTCGTTTTTGTAAGTTTGTGAGTCGTCGGATGACTATGAGGTTTAAGTTCTGATAGTTTTACAAAACCTTCAAATGTACTGTTACGAGCGCTAGTTCCACCTCTTCCATGTCTTACTATTTGTTGCTCTGTTTTGACTTCTATGTACACTTATTCATTAAAAATACCATATCAATTAAATGTACTGAAATTAATGTATATGTGATTTGGCCGGTAAAAAATATGCTTGGCTGGTGGATTTTTTCATCTACCAGTCCCCGTGGCAGGTGAGCCAAAAAGTTAATTTGGACCCTGGCTGCAGGTACCAGGCTTTTGCCAAAGTTCGTCTTTCTGCACCTCAGTGACCTGTAGCTGCACCAAGCGGGCAGTACAGTGAAGTGGCGATTGAGTGGGTGTGAGATGTCCTGTTTGACTGTGTTTGCAATGCATGTGATGAGCTTACAATTGCCTTGAACCTGAAACTTTGGATGTGGAGATACCTATAATCTTGGCAGCAGTGTTGTGAGTTTGACTGCTTATGCAGTAAAGAAGCTGAAAACTGCATACCACACTCTTCTATAAAAATAAGGGAAGAAGAATGTAACTTTCCCTGTTAACATGATTTTAAAGTGTGGTGCACAAATGACAGAATGAACTTTTATCGTCAAAATAAAGAGACATTGCTCAAGTTATAACAGCATAAAATGTAGAAGAAAATGACTCCATTAAAGTGAGCTTTTAGATGAGATTTGCATAAAGAAGACAACATTCAACTACTGATTTCAATCAGTTCCACTTCTTTATTTTAAGAACCACTATTAAGTGTTTAGTTGATGATCTGACTCGGAAACCCCATGTGCGGAGATTTTCGCCAAATCATATAAGTGGAAAGGGAGACACTTTTGACCAGGACAGCCAGACTTGGGGCAAAAATCAGCTGTGGGTTTGTTCCTTTTTAACACCCCCAACCCTACGCATTGTGCACGTCCCATGCCCTTTAAAGAAACAAATCAACAGACATATTTATTAAATCACTAAACTTAAATAATAAAAAGGTATTAACAGAGGATCATCCAACAAAAAAGTTGTCTCAAGAGTAGGTGAAAATGTAGGATTGGGTTAAAGGAGCCAATAGGTCCCTAGGTCATCTCAGTTGATAGTGTTTATAGTTTGTATATTTACAGATTTGCAGTTATTGAAATTACCAGAAACCACACAGTGAAACTGGGGCCTGAGACCTTCAGGCACTGGTAATCCATCTTTACACTGTACAATGTTATTGGGCTTTTGTGTTTTTAATTTGCCAGAGGGATGAATGTTTTGAGGGCAGATGTATATTCATCAGCCAGACTGATTAATTCATTGGAGTGAGTCATTACTCTGACTAAATATAACACCGAAAGCCTGAAAATACAGTAATATTTCTAAAAGAAACACGCTCACTATTTCTCAACCCATCCATCCGTCCATAGTTGTTATTTCAACATTGAGTTAAGGTTAGAAAGGCTGCTTTATGAATGAGGTTGAAAAGTTACATTAAATGAGGACTTTGGAACAAACAGTTTAGCCTAGCCGTGTTCCCATCAACGTTTTTTGATGCGCATTTTGAAGTATCGCATTAGAAAAGGCTGATGGAAACAGCAAAATTCACAAAAAAGTTTTTACGCTCGATTGAGGTGGTTTTTTGCCTATGTTGAAAAAGAGTAAATGCGCTAAATGGGAGATGGAAACACTTTTACTGAATAAGTTCTAACATAGCAAACTTGTAACACATCTCATCATCTGTTTCTGCTGTTGCCGTCTTGTCGGCTATCTGATAGCAACTTGCCCGCTCGAAACACATTCTGAGAACCTCTCTCCATTTTTCTATGATCAGTGGCCATCAGTTCCATGCGACTGGTTTTGTTTCTGGTTTGGAACCCATTCGTCTTGTTTATTACAGCCATGTGTAACGTCAACTACTGATGTAACTACGCTTGCTGTAGCCTGGTTTATTCGCTCCAAACCAGCTGATGGAAATGTAACTATTTTGTATTTACTTTATTTTTATTTTTTGTGACATTTCAGAAGTCTGCTTAAAATTTGCATGACAATTACATGGAAACATGGCTAGTTTAAAGCAGTAAAACTAAACTATTTATATGTAATGAGGAACAAAAAAAAACTGAAAAAGCAAAACATAATTGTCAACCATAATTATCTTGCTGTCTTTACAGGTTGTAAATGGTTATTAAATTAACTATAATGTGTTCGTATTTGCTGTTAAAAATGATGCCTAGCAAGGCTAGCATGCCTCTAAAATAGAGTCTCATTTTCACTCTCATTGGTGCCAGTAAAGATCAGGCTATAGCTTAAATTACAACCAAACAATGTAAGGTTTAATATTTCCTATAATTGCTGAGCAATTTGCTGAAAACCAATTTGTTTGCTAAGTTACCAGTTAACTTAAAAAAAAACCTAAACGACAGAATAGGTCGATTGCCAATGACTTTCACAAAATTTGATTGTGGGAGCTTGATTATCTCCTGTTAATAATGGCTAAGGTGTTATGGCCTTTAAGATTTAACATTAACTTCAACTTTCAGCGTTTCAGACTAGGAGTGCACTGGATAACAAAGAGACACAGAGGACAGGATCAACTTCAGATTAAAATCATGTATAGTGTCTAATAATTTCTAAGTGTTAAAATACTTGGTGGTCATATTGTATGTTCTACAAGTAGGCTACTTCACTCTGTTTAATTTGCAGGACATATTTCATGTTAAATATTTGATCTGTAACCCTGATTAACTGGCTGACCAATAAATTTCCACTCCACAACTTTTGCGGTTGTGTTTTCTATGTTGTGAGATACGCTTTCCTGATCAAGCTGTGATGATCATTGGCACAGGGCCAGACAGGATCAAGACTCTGCTCCAAAGAGGACTTGGGATCACAGTATAGAGCCATCAGGCTGATTTACAGCACTTTTGTTATTAAGTTGAAGTGCCCTTAATTTAACTGTGTTTGTCTCTGGTACTCCACCTAAGGAGATGTTATATCATAAGGCTGAGATAGAGAGATATAAACGGCGAGTGAATGCCTTTCTCATAATATCCATTCTTAGTCATTCTTACATTTTGTTGTTGTTGCTGCTAAATTAAATTACACAAGTGGATCTCTGTTTTTATTCCTGCAGAAACCAGGATACAAGTGATGGAATGTGCCTCAAATGAATGTTAAGAGGGCAGATTTGTGTTCAAAAGAGCTTAACAGGTTTTCAGCCTGACTGACTGACTGATTCAAGGAGGAGTGCTTCACACCAGAGTCACTACTGCATAGAGAAGTTGCCATGTGGGAAAAATAAAACAAAGTCCCAAAGCATGCAACATCAGGGCTTACAAATCGAAGAAAATAATACTAACAGCAGACTACTACTGTAAAGTAACAGATCGGAAACAAACGTGTAAAGTTTTCGGTCAGATGAAGTGGAATGATTTTGCAGCAATTAGCTGGACTGACACATCACAAACAATTCACATTTCTTGGTAACAAGAGTTACTCTGTTGTCAATGCAACTATGCAGCTACTTTGCCTCTGAACTATCAGCATTGACCAAAAATATGTTCCAGTGTATGGCTTCCTGATTATCAGAGTTGTTGAGAAATAAATCCAGGAAACTCCTGCTTTTGTGCCAGACTGTGCCTTAAATTCCACTTCAAGTTACATTCAGTGACACTCATCACAGGGAACATAACAACTGTCTGAGGTTGAATATATTCAAGCATGTGTGTCACCCAAGTCGTCTCTGTCTCAATCTAAAGTCCATCCACCCATCCTACCAAACGAGACGGAATAAACCAGGAGTAATCACCAATCCAGACATATAGCCTACCAGCCATATTAAATATGAAATTTTGTGCTCCAATGAGGCCAGTTACAGACAGAGCTGTTATGTGCCTCCCTACACACAACTGGAAAGGGTTTTTAACAGTCTCACTTACCAGCAGTACCGCCCGACAGATGAGGTTTAATCCGTGGGGCGAGCCTGTAGTGCTGTACAATGATGTTGCAACCAAGTTCACGTTGCTTTTGCTGACAAACGCTGCGTGCGGAAACGACAAATATGCGTCTGCCTGCAGTTCACACACACACACACACGGGTAGAAGCGGTGACGTGACGTGAGCATCAAAAGCTCATCCCTCTGAACAATGTAGCGGAAGCAAGACCTGCACAGGATAGTTTACAGTCGGTCGGACTGGCATGAAGTCCGCAGGCAGACATAGCGGTTTACTGGAACACTTTCCCTCGGCCACCGCGCGTTCCCCTTCTCTCTCTCAATCCAGGGACGCATGCGCGTGTGGGTACGCTGGAGAGAGCACATCCAAATACCGTGGCTGCAAAAATGTACACGCCGAAGCCTGAATGTGTAGGCGTTGACCTTGAAGTACACAGGTCACCGAAATCGTCCATGTGATCTCCAGTTTATTATGATTATTTGCCATATTCCTCCTCAATCCACCTCAAACTGGACTTTTATCCCAGAGGGAACAACATCTGGAAAGACTTTACTGTTGGCTGTGATTTTGTAAACCCCTGAATGCAACAGATAACAGAGCGAAACACAGGCAAGCAGTGGTGGAAGAAGCACTCAGTTCTGTTACAAGTAAAGATCCTGCATTCAAAGTGTTGCTTAAACGCATAAAGTAGGCTACACAAAATAATCAATATTATATATAGATGTGCCTATTACTGTGCCAACATCACTTAGATGTTGCAGCCGGTGGTTTTAACTACTTTATATATAATAATAATAATAATAATGTAGAGCACTTTTCAAAAACAAGTTACAAAGTGCTTTAACAAGTGTAAAGACAATAATACCCAAAAGACAATAATACAAAAACAATACAAGATAAAAGCATGAAAACATTGAAAAGACTAAAATACATGTTTAACATAAATATAAAACTAGTAAAATGGAATAAAATAAAAGGGATAAAATAAAGTCAAATAAATCGGGAAAAGCTCTCCTATAAAAGTATGTTTTAAGAAGGGACTTAAAAGAGTTCACTGACTCAGCCGACCTGATTTCCTCGGGCAGGCTGTTCCAGAGCCTCGGGGCCCTGACAGCAAACGCTCTGTCCCCTTTAGTTTTCAGTCGAGACTCTGGAACAGACAACAGACCTCTGCCCGAGGATCTCAAGGTACGTGCTGGTGCGTATGGGACTAAAAGGTCAGAAATATAACAAGGCGAGAGGCCATGAAGAGCTTAAAAAGTGATCAATATAATTTAAAAGTCAAATCTAAAACATACTTGGAGCCAGTGTAATGAAGCTAAAATTGGAGTAATGTGGTCATATTTCTTTGTTCTGGTTAAAAGCCTGGCAGCTGAGTTCTGGACAGTCTGGAGTCGATCAATAGATTTTTGGATAAAACAAGTGAAAAGGCTGTTGCAATAATCCAGGCGTGATGAGATGAAGGCGTGTAAAATGGTCTCGGTGTCTTTAAAAGTTAACATAGATAGAATTTTTGCTAGATTTATAAGTTGATAAAACATGATTGAACAAGCTTTGTGGTGTGCTGCTCGAAATTTAAATTACTATCAAACCAAACACCAAGATTCTTTGCCACAGGCTTAATGTGATTTACTAGGGAACCAGCAGATGGCAGTATTTGATTTGCCATCTGCTGGGACCCGATGACCAGGATTTCTGTTTTGTCTGAGTTCAGCTGGACGAAATTATTTGACATCCATTTTTTAACTTCACAAAGGCAGTTGATAAGTGAACTCAGCATTCCAGGGTCTGTGGATCTGACGGGCAAGTATATTTGTATATACTGGGTAGCTTTGTTCATAAAAATATATCATCATGTATTTGTTTAGTTTTATTTATAATTTGTATTGATAATCTGTGTTGAAGAAATATTGTGAGCCAGGTTCAGATGTGAAGAAGAAGTTTCTGACTTAACATAGCATTCAGCTCATCCGAGAAGATACAGTGCCAGCATACAACATGTGAACTGAATCAAATGCCACCAAATCTGAAGTTAAGCATCTTTTGGTCCCTTTTATGTTTCTTTCTTCCCCCTAGGTTTTCCCTATTAGGTCATCTTTAGCTGGCTTTAAGCTAGAACAACAAATCTGTCTGATGTTTAGACTCCAGTGCTACGTCATATTCAAATATATTTCTATCCATGAGTTGTACTCTACTTTGTTAAGTTGTAAGCATTCTTGTAAGACTCAACCTTGTCAGATTCCCAGAGAAAACCAATATCTGCTATGGCCTGACGCCTGAGCTACTGTCTCTACCTTCTTAGTCTAACTATCATCTCCCTAACAAGGACAGTTACATGTGAGAAATAGCTAGAGCTGAAAGGTCAGTGAACACTTGTGGGTCAGCTAATGATTCCAAGTTAGACTACCTTTCCCTGTTACATCAGTTAAGCCCCATAAGAATATTCTTTAACAATCTGAATCTGCAAAGTACTAGCTAAAGCTGTCAGATACATTTTGTGGAGTGAAAAGTATAATATCTTTGAGAAGTAGTAGCATCAAATGGATTTATCCAAGTAAATCGTGAAATTTGTACGAACGCATAATTTGTGATTAAATATTGGTTTCCACCACTTTGGAGATGAAGATTAACTTCAGGGTCTATCATCTTGTGCATGAAAAAATGATCAAATTAAGCTTTTATTTTTCTTAAATAAAAGTCCACTGAGGTCGTCTTTTGGGAACCTCTGTTAACACCTTGTGTGACCAAAATATTGAAACTTCCCCAGCCAGTTGAGTATTCTTTCCTCTCACACTAAACAGAACAACATATCAACATTGATATCAATGGGAAACATGTAATGTAATATGAGCATCAAAGTTCATCCCTAATGATCCAGCAAATCCAGACACATCCAAATACCATGGCTGCATAAATGCAGGCTGCCTAAGGGCTGAAACTGATGGTTGTGTTGAAGTACACAGGTTAATGAACTTTTCCCATGTCAGTGATCTTCTGCTATAGATAAGGATTTGACCCACAGTACTGCGCATTTCTCCCTGAGGGACCATCATTTGGAGATATTGTTGCTATTGGCCGTGACTTTTTAAATCTCCGTTTGTGAAGGAGAAAACAGTGAAACTCATGGACAAGATCAACTTAAGAGGATACATTTACTATCCATCCAATTTATTTACAATTTTTATTAGTCAATTTGTAATTTCATTTTAAAGACTTAAAAAAGTCTGTGTATATTTTTCAGGTCATGAAAAAAACAAACATATTCTTTAGTTTGTCTATAACATTTCTTTTCAAACTGATGACAAAAATCTTTTATTAGATCGTGAATTACTCCTGTGTAAATGTCTCTGCCAATGTATCTGCTGGCAGCAAATTAGTTTTACACAACAATGAACAAATGTTTGCTGGCTCTGGATAAAGGATAATGACAGGGTTGTGTAAATAACGTGAGAGTCAAGAGTGCACAAGCCTACTAATTCCACTACATCATTTCATCATCAAGACCAAAACATCTCTTTGGAGACACACAGGATTTTTCTTCTTTTTCAGACGATCTTTTTGTGTGTTTGGTGTACAATATTCATATAATTTGCACAAAAACGTATACACACACCTAAGGATTATTAGGAACACCATACTAATACTGTGTTTGACCCCCTTTCGCCTTCAGAACTGCCTTAATTCTACGTGGCATTGATTCAACAAGGTGCTGAAAGCATTCTTTAGAAATGTTGGCCCATATTGATGGATAGCATCTTGCAGTTGATGGAGATTTGTGGGATGCACATCCAGGGCACGAAGCTCCCGTTCCACCACATCCCAAAGATGCTCTATTGGGTTGAGATCTGGTGACTGTGGGGGCCATTTTAGTACAGTGAACTCATTGTCATGTTCAAGAAACCAATTTGAAATGATTCGAGCTTTGTGACATGGTGCATTATCCTGCTGGAAGTAGCCATCAGAGGATGGGTACATGGTGGCCATAAAGGGATGGACACGGTCAGAAACAATGCTCAGGTAGGCCGTGGCATTTAAACGATGCCCGATTGGCACTAAGGGGCCTAAAGGGTGCCAAGAAAACATCCCCCACACCATTACACCACCACCACCAGCCTGCACAGTGGTAACAAGGCATGATGGATCCATGTTCTCATTCTGTTTACGCCAAATTCTGACTCTACCATCTGAATGTCTCAACAGAAATCGAGACTCATCAGACCAGGCAACATTTTTCCAGTCTTCAACTGTCCAATTTTGGTGAGCTCTTGCAAATTGTAGCCTCTTTTTCCTATTTGTAGTGGAGATGAGTGGTACCCGGTGGGGTCTGCTGTTGTAGCCCATCCGCCTCAAGGTTGTGCGTGTTGTGGCTTCACAAATGCTTTGCTGCATACCTCGGTTGTAACGAGTTATTTCAGTCAAAGTTGCTCTTCTATCAGCTTGAATCAGTCGGCCCATTCTCCTCTGAGCTCTAGCATCAACAAGGCATTTTCGCCCACAGGACTGCCGCATACTGGATGTTTTTCCCTTTTCACACCATTCTTTGTAAACCCTAGAAATGGTTGTGTGTGAATATCCCAGTAACTGAGCAGATTGTGAAAAACTCAGACTGGCCCGTCTGGCACCAACAACCATGCCACGCTCAAAATTGCTTAAATCACCTCTCTTTCCCATTCTGACATTCAGTTTGGAGTTCAGGAGATTGTCTTGACCAGGACCACACCCCTAAATGCATTGAAGCAAATGCCATGTGATTGGTTGATTAGATAATTGCATTAATGAGAAATTTAACAGGTGTTCCTAATAATCCTTTAGGTGAGTGTATACAGGTGTTCTGTCAAATTCTTGGAGATCTTTGTGTCTTGTGTGGTGTCCGAACAATAATGCTGCGATGATGTGTTGAGAAGAAATCCACTTGACACTGTTCTTGATCATAAAAGTTTATTACATCAAGGAATTCAGCATCAATTACAAGCTCTGCAGCAGCTTGGAGAGTGACCCAGCCCGATGGCCACTCTGTCTCTCTGTACATCAAACATAGCTTATATAGGGCATGTTTAGGTATCTGCTAAATACCATATAAGGGTCTGAGTCTGCAAACTAAGGCTCCAATCCATATAAGAGCAAAGTTCTATAGGATAAGTGTAGACATCTTGTTGGACACCAGATAAGGGTCTGAGCCTCCACGTAACCACTGACCTCTGCTCTCCCCTTAAAGGTCACTAATCCAGCTGCTAGAGTATTATTTTAAACTGTAATGGTCAAATGCACATATGTTATACACCACACTTGTATTTTGAATGTAAATGGCAAAGTAATAAATCCAAAAATTAAAACACAATAAAACAATAGGCCAATCGAAGACATAAGAAGTTATCACCTGAATGAGTCTAACAAATAGTGCTGCTGTTAAAAATATTATAAACTAATTTTACATGTGTATAAAACCACTGTGTTGTTGAATTTGACATGCAGCCTTCTGATGTCTCATTGCACTGTAAGACCTCCAGTATATTCACTAGAAACCCAATAAAATGTTTGGATCTCCTGCTCCTTTAATTAACCTAGCTGGTGCGCCGTTGTAGTACGGCAAGCTGAATTTACTCACCACAGATAGAAATGTCCAGGTCAGTACCGCCGCGCCCACTAGGGACCATCATGGTGAGCTTTTCCATACTGTTGGTGGTCCAAAGCACACCAGCTTGCCAACCTGTGGTCTGAACACTCTCTTGTCTTTCATTTCTCACTTTCATAGCACGCCTGCTCAGGGGCTTTCCAACGCTGAACTTGTGTTGATTTTGTCAGTTGTTTTTAGTCCTGAGATCATAGAAAACCGTGAATATTTTAGCCAAAAAAAGCGCTTAAGATATGAGCCTAGTTCTAGACCGATAATGAGCATTTTAGTCAAACTTCAGCAGACAGCTTGTGGATTATATTTCATCCAAATAGATTTTGAGCTAACTTAAAACTGGTTCTGAAAAGTGGCCAGTGTGATGACAGATAATTGTTTATCCTTACATTTAACCTCTTTTAATGTCTTATAATGGGGTTTGGGGGCAGAAACACACACTCTGCACAGGCTTTTGAATATGCAGATAGGATAGAATAGTATAGGATTCGCCTTTATTGTCTCCCTTAGGAGAAATTTGTTTTGGGCATTCAGCATAATTCAGCATTACACGAATAACATTTAACAGCTATTCAACACGCACAATACATAACAGTGCAATAGCATTTGCCAACAGCCATCTGCCCACATATCCACAGTGTCACAACATGCAAAACTTAGATTACTTCATACCCAACAGTTTAACATTCACCCGCAAGCATAGCGGAAGATATCGCACAATAATGCATCCATTCATCCATTCGTACTCTATGAATACAAAATGAATGCTTAAATACCTGGGCTGTGATCACCAATGGGCCTGGGATTTTTTTATTTATTGCAACATATTATCTGGATGAAGGGTGCTGCTGCTCCTGTTGTTGTTGTTACTGCCAGCCGAATATCGAGGACCCAGGGGCAAACAGCAGAGGCTATGTCACATTGTTAGCAGCTAATGTTACACCACTGTCTTTTGGAGATGGCTTAAAGTGGTCATATTATGCTCATTTTGAGGTTCAAAATCTTATTTAGGGGTTGTACCAGAAAAGGTTTACATGGTGTCATTTTCAAAAAACACCATTTTTTTCTAATACTGCACATTGCTGCAGCACCTCTTTTAACCCTGTATGTTGAACGCGTCATTAGTTGTGGAGTGATGCATCTCACTTCTGAAAGATCTTTGTTGGGTGTTGCACATGCGCAGTTCCTAGTTAAGGACTACTAACCAATCAGAAGCAGAGTAGGGCGGGTCCTGAAAAGCTGGTAAACAGGACATGGCTTTGGTTCAGCTGTATATGTTTCCTTTACCAGCTTAGCAACATAGACTGGAGCAAGAGTTTCAGAGTGGTGAGTTATTAATTTGTAACAAATGTATCCTTCATTATAAAGTTTTAACTGAGCTCTGTCTCTACATCACAGTAACAACTTACTGTCCATTGACTGCCTGGACGGTAGCTAATGTTTGGAAGTCCATACAGAAACCAACATCTAAAAGTGACAATTTTGCCATTTTGCAGGAGGTTTTGAGCCAATCAAAACCAGTGGAGACTCCAAGAAATTACTAGTCCTGGCCAAGACATAGTCTGGTAAAATAAGTTGTTAGGCTAAACATCTTGTCCATACATTAGTTTCCCTCTGAGGTGTGTCTTCATATTTGTATTTGTGGTAGCATGGGGTTAGAGATCCATGGCTGTGTTAATTGCCAGGAGCTTAATTGATGTAACAGGGAAAGGTAAGACAGGTCTAGCTTGGAGTCATTGACCCACAAGTGTTGACTGACCTTCCAGCTCTAATAATTTCTCACATGTAACTCTCTTTGTTAGGAAGGCAGCAGTAGCTCAGGCATCAGGCAAGCAGATGTTAATGTGTTCTCTGGGAATCTGACAAGGTTGAGTCTTACAAGAATGTTTACAAGAACTTACTGGATCCAGAGATTAGAGTAGCTACAACTCAAGTATAGTATTCCAAGATGACGTAGCATTGGACTCTAAACATCAGATACTTTTGTTATTGGTTAAGGCCAGCTAAAGATGACCAAATTGGGAAACCTACAGAAACCAGGGGGAAGATGAAAAATGATGTGCTGGCACTGTATCTCCTCGGCCGGGCTCAATAAACCATGCTATGTTAAGTCTTCCTCAGTCTCCAAAACTTCTTCTTCACATCTGAACCTGGCTCACAATAATTCTTCAACATGCACAACATGGTTAAAAAATGACCCATATTTCTCTTTCTCACTAGTAATGGATGTCAAGGTCAAGTTAACCTTAACCTAATATTCAAATATTACCTAGGCCTATGGTTATCTTTCACAAAATATCTTATATTTTGGTAAAACAATTTTAATATTGACTTGCATCAAATGTGCTAAAGCAGCCGTGTTCAGTTATGAAACGTGTGGCAAGTGAGTAGTATACTGCAGTACATATGGTATGTTCCTGATTGCAACATTTACAAATATCAAAGGTTCTATCAAATTCCATAGTGACTACTTATGGGTAATTGTTCTGTGTAAAATTGATGTAGAAATACAAAAACTATTTTTGTTCATGCAGAAAGAAAGTAAAAATAAAAATAAGGATTTATGATAATAAAAATAAAAACAAGTAATGAAATAAAATGATTTCATAAGATATAGCAAAGAAAAACCCAGCCATGCATGAAAGTACATAAGAAATAAATACAAGTCCTTTTTGACCCATGTCTGCATAAGAATGGTACATACAAAATGATACAAAAATTATTTTTATTCAAAAAGTAAGAAAGGAAAAATGAAAATAACAACTTGTGATCGAAAACTAGTTCATTTTGGAATACCTGAAATACTGAATGATCAGTCTGGTTACTTTTGACCCATGTCGTGCATCAAAGGGTTAAAAAGGAAATGGTAATATAAAATGAACCGTTTTGTGAAAGGAACATCTCTGAATCTCCCTCCTGTGTGCCTTCATTTATCAGTGTTGGCTGGGATATTTATTTCTTGTTGTGAAATTCCCCTGATGATGCAGTTGGGTTAATATTGCAGTTTTTAGAATTCATGTTAGTGTTAATGTGAGCCTTCTCAGCGAGGGCACCAAAAAATCCCCCTTGCTACATATTCTCTGCAGATATTTTTAGCCGCAGGGCTTCTCTCCAGACAATACTCTTTCTTTCTGCATTGGGAAGAAGTCAAAATGCTGTTGCCATCATGTATTTTTCTCATCATCAGCTCACATTGGTCAGGTTCCAGGGTTTGTGCTGTAGCAACCCCAAGACTTTAGAACACGGTTGGCGACGTATTGCTGGTATGTAAAAAGTTACCAGGAAGATAATTTGGACATGCTGGAGGAGAAATGTACAGCCATCAGAGACAAAATGGAGATTTGGATTACGTGATTATTTGAAAAAAAATGTATGTAATTTCTTCTCCTCTCTATAAATTCAAGTTACTTTTCAGTTAACATAAGTTATGTGAAACTGCTCTCCTCAGTAGTCAGTAAGCACCATCCTGTGTGTGTGTGTGTGTGTGTGTGTGTGTGTGTGTGTTTTGGTAACAGCAAAAGACTCGTAGAACTTCTGTGTCTTTCAGAGATTAGTCTAAATTTGTACGTTTCAACATTGGCTTGTCACAAAAGAGCCGATTATCAAGGGTGGAGAAGCGGAAGGATGAAACAACATGAAACCATTAATACAAATCTGAAAAAGAGAACACGTAGCAGATGGTGTCTCACGTTAAAAGAGGAAAAAAAGAAAAAATTGAAAAAAATTGAATCACAAAAGTTATGCTCCAGTTGATTCAGTGATTACCTGATATTCTACATTGAGCGTTCCTTTCCAAATGCCAACTATCCAAAATTAAGCACTGCCAGTATGCTTGATTAACCAGGGAAGGTGCCAAGCTGCCAAGGACATCATACCTAAGACAGAGAACTACAAGTTGGATAGAGGAGAAAGACTGTTGCTTCCAACACTTCAACATGCTCAGACTTTGTTCCAACTACCTCACAGTCAGAAATATGACATAGAATATTAACACCAGCAGACCTGATCCATGAGTCTGATCTCTAACTGTGTTCACTTCCAGCTCAACGAAAAAAAAAGGGCCTGCCACTGTCAGCAGTTTGATATGGGCGGGTATTACTCTTTTACTCTGTCTGTTTTCCTCTCTTTCCCTCACACACCCATACATTTAGATACACACTGTATATAGAGGCATAGAGTTTTAGTAATCATTGCTTTTTTATGGTAAAAGCGTCAATGTAGACATGGTGCTGATACCAGAGAGATCGTGCCTTTATGGGTGGCATCTCCTCACTAACACTCTCTATTCTAGATAAATCAGGAAAATACACCACCTAGTGGTAAACACTATCTGTATCACAATGTTTTCATCCTATTACAGTATACTGCCATTGGTATACTCTACAACCTACTATAAAAGGAGGATCACATGCATTTATGGTGCCCTTTATCTTAAACATAAAATATGGGCTGCAATACATCAGAATAATGTGTGATAAGCTGAGACTATGAACAGAACTACCCACGAGATGCGCTTATTAAAAGCGGTTATTGAACACACTGTACTTCTCTAGGTCTGATACAGGAAATAACCCCTGTGCTGTTTGGAATAAAAAATGTCTCCTCCCAGTTTCTGCTTTGAGCAAGACAAGGTCTAACTTTTAAATTCCAACATGATGTGACAAAAGGTTCACTAAACATGAGTTCAGTCAGTAGCAGCAGTGTTCTCCATTCAGAGCCCTTTGCCCTTCATTGCAGACTTTAATTACTCAATATAGTTCGGAAAGCTAACAGTTAACGTTAATGCTAACGCGAAGAGGTAGCAAGTGTTAGCTTATTGCGTAACGTTAGTGTACTAAACAAGACACTTTTGTGGCGTGAATATCCTAAAAATCTCCTTATTACAAAGTGTAAGCTGAATTTTGATGTAGTTTGTGCTAGAGTGACTTCTTTCACTTTGTTAGGAAGACACAGCAGGCTAGCTGTAACGTTAGCAGCAACAACATGTGTGTTTAACTGTTAGCTCCTGTTGACATGTCTGCGATGTTACAGGAGCAAAGTGGGAACAATTAATTTATTCACGAGGGCCTCAGTCTTAAATACAAACTCGACAATGAGTTTGAGTTGATTTTTGTGGTAAGTCTCTCAACTGCACACTGAATGAATTACTTTCAAACACCACTAAGTTTTACACTGCATATCTGCAACTAGCATTCATGTTGTTTTTATTTTTACGTGCTGAAAATCACTCTTTCCCTGTTTCTGCCCAGGTGGGTTTTCAAAAGATCCTGACGCTGACGTATGTGGACAAGTTCATAGATAGTCATTTTTGACCCATGTCTGCATAAGAACTGTACATACAAAATGATACAAAAATTATTTTTATTCAAAAAGTAAGAAAAGAAAAATTAAAGTAATGACTTGTGATCGAAAACAAGTTCATTTTGGAATACCTGAAATACTGAATGATCAGTCTGGTTACTTTTGACCCATGTCGTGCATCAAAGGGTTAAAAAGGAAATGGTAATATAAAATGAACCGTTTTGTGAAAGGAACATCTTTGAATCTCCCTCCCGTGTGCCTTCATTTATCAGTGTTGGCTGGGATATTTATTTCTTGTTGTGAACTTCCCCTGATGATGCAGTTGGGTTAATATTGCAGTTTTTAGAATTCATGTTAGTGTTAATGTGAGCCTTCTCAGCGAGGGCACCAAAAAATCCCCCTTGCTACATATTCTCTGCAGATATTTTTAGCCGCAGGGCTTCTCTCCAGACAATACTCTTTCTTTCTGCATTGGGAAGAAGTCAAACTGCTGTTGCCATCATGTATTTTTCTCATCACCAGCTCACGTTTGTCAGGTTCCAGGGTTTGTGCTGTAGCAACCCCAAGACTTTAGAACACGGTTGGCGACGTATTGCTGGTATGTAAAACGTTACCAGGAAGATAATTTGGACATGCTGGAGGAGAAATGTACAGCCATCAGAGACAAAATGGAGATTTGGATTACGTGATTATTTGAAAAAAAATGTATGTAATTTCTTCTCCTCTCTATAAATTCAAGTTACTTTTCAGTTAACATAAGTTATGTGAAACTGCTCTCCTCAGTAGTCAGTAAGCACCATCCTGTGTGTGTGTGTGTTCTGGTAACAACAAAAGCCTCGTAGAACTTCTGTGTCTTTCAGAGATTAGTCTAAATTTGTACGTTTCAACGTTGGCTTGTCACAAAAGAGCCGATTATCAAGGGTGGAGAAGCGGAAGGATGAAACAACATGAAACCATTAATACAAATCTGAAAAAGAGAACATGTAGCAGATGGTGTCTCACGTTAAAAGAGGAAAAAAAGAAAAAATTGAAAAAAATTGAATCACAAAAGTTATGCTCCAGTTGATTCAGTGATTACCTGATATTCTACATTGAGCGTTCCTTTCCAAATGCCAACTATCCGAAATTAAGCACTGCCAGTATGCTTGATTAACCAGGGAAGGTGCCAAGCTGCCAAGGACATCATACCTAAGACAGAGAACTACAAGTTGGATAGAGGAGAAAGACTGTTGCTTCCAACACTTCAACATGCTCAGACTTTGTTCCAACTACCTCACAGTCAGAAATATGACATAGAATATTAACACCAGCAGACCTGATCCATGAGTCTGATCTCTAACTGTGTTCACTTCCAGCTCAACGAAAAAAAAGGGCCTGCCACTGTCAGCAGTTTGATATGGGCGGGTATTACTCTTTTACTCTGTCTGTTTTCCTCTCTTTCCCTCACACACCCATACATTTAGATACACACTGTATATAGAGGCATAGAGTTTTAGTAATCATTGCTTTTTTATGGTAAAAGCGTCAATGTAGACATGGTGCTGATACCAGAGAGATCGTGCCTTTATGGGTGGCATCTCCTCACTAACACTCTCTATTCTAGATAAATCAGGAAAATACACCACCTAGTGGTAAACACTATCTGTATCACAATGTTTTCATCCTATTACAGTATACTGCCATTGGTATACTCTACAACCTACTATAAAAGGAGGATCACATGCATTTATGGTGCCCTTTATCTTAAACATAAAATATGGGCTGCAATACATCAGAATAATGTGTGATAAGCTGAGACTATGAACAGAACTACCCACGAGATGCGCTTATTAACAGCTGTTATTGAACACACAGTACTTCTCTAGGTCTGATACAGGAAATAACCCCTGTGCTGTTTGGAATAAAAAATGTCTCCTCCCAGTTTCTGCTTTGAGCAAGACAAGGTCTAACTTTTAAATTCCAACATGATGTGCAAAAGGTTCACTAAACATGAGTTCAGTCAGTAGCAGCAGTGTTCTCCATTCAGAGCCCTTTGCCCTTCATCGCAGACTTTAATTACTGTTGATAATGATCACAACAAATGTCACTGAAGCTTTCTCCGCTCTTCTTTATTACTTCCAGCGGAACTGAAGTCGCAGCTGGGTCACACTTTGACAACAGCTTGTCTTTTTTAGAGCTACCTTCTCCACTTAGTTCATTGCTAGAGCTGTCCACGTTACAATCAAGTGTCTTTTCATTGTCAATCAGGCATCCCAGGTCTAGAGAAGAGAAGAATATGAGATTATTAAGGATGTCTTAAACTGTGGAATAATCTTTTTAAAGAATCAAAATGCTAATTTGGCATAAGCAGGAGAGGAAAAAGGCTGTTGGCTAAAAACAGCTTTAAACAGATATAATTTTAAACTTTTTGCTAAGATCAAGATCAACTTCTGTCTACGAACCCAACCCTTCTTCCCATGACTCACACTTGAGCACAGTCTTGGTGAGGAGTTTATATCCTCTGTCAGGGCTCTTGCTCAGATCAATGTAGATGTAGAACTTTAGTTCCTGAGGATACTGAGAGTGGGACAGGTTCTGAACCAGGGGAATAATACGATTGGACATGGGCCCCACTGCCAGAGCCTGGTGCATTATATACTTGCACCACTCATCCTGCAGGAAGTTAGGAGTGATAAGCAAAGCCCATAAGTGACTGTTCTGCACAGCCTGGCATAGCTCTGTGGAAATTGCACCTCCTGGACAGTCATCCCTCTGCAGTAGAAAGCACCTAAGGCCACGGGGTGCAGCCTCCAGGAAAGAAACCAAGCGTCCAGCCTCTTCAATGTCGCTGTCCACAGAGCTGTGGCACACAAACACGTCATACTTTCGGCTCCATCGCAACAGCGAGCTCAGAGCAGACTGCGGCTGTAGTGGTTTAGAAGGGGTTGCCCCTGGTGATGATGATGAAGCACAGAATGACTGACTGCTCACAGACGACACTGAGTTTTCTGTCCCTTTTGCCTCTTGTTCACGTTGTGCTGATAAAGATACTCTTGATTTCAAGAGTTTCTGGAACCAACCTGAAACGAGAAAGACAAGTTGCACATGCTACTGACTTGATAATACATCATGAATCCTTCCTAGTCTAGCTAGGAAGCATGCACATTAATACATACAGCACAATCATCAATCTTGTGAACAATTTATTTTATTCCACAAAAGGGTAACGGTTTTCTGACAACTCAAGAAAAAAGAGTATTGTAAGAGCCATTTTGGCATATATGGTATTTGCTAACTTGTTGTTAAACACCTGTTATATGTTCATGGGTCATGCAGAATTTCTTTTTGTTTTTGATATTGTGTTTTTGTACCTGCTGATTGGGTGGGTTAGTAATTTTGCTGTGCATGGGCAGTAGGAAAAAAGTAACACGGGTGAAGGGAGGAGAGATCTGCAAGAGCCCTGTATCGTAACACGTTTTTGACCGTGTTTTGCAAAATGTTTTTGAGTAACTTTTGGTGAACTGTACTGGGGTGTTAATGGACCAAGCCTTTGTCATGAAAACGGCCACGACAAGTATGGAATTATACAAATTACAGATACAATACAAAATAGTATTCAAACAGTTAAAGATGAGGTTTACATTAAAAATTAATAACTGAAAATTTAACTTACCATGCATGTTGTTAACATCATCATGCCTTGCCAAAAATTGTTCCAGTAAATAAATGTTTAATGGTCACCTTTCTTAAGAGGATTTTGACTGCCACATACACATAATTACTCAGACTGTAGCTGAAAAATAAATGTTCTAACAATGTGACATAATCCAATGGCAGCTACAGAACGTATCAAAGACAAAGTGAAAACTTTGTCGAGTGTCACTGACATCACCAAAAAAAAGAGGAAGTTGGTAACTGCCTTAAGTGACGCCTCAATGTGTGCAGTCAAATTTCAAATGCAAAGTATCTGAAACTTTATACTTCACTGAGCAGACAATTAACCCTCTGTCCTGCTGATTCAAAGGCAAATGATGTGTAAGATAAACTTAATTGACATCATGCAAGCAAAATTAAAGGGAAAGTTTGAAGGAAAGCTGGCAAATGTTATACTTTTATCTACAAATCTACAAAGTAATGCATTTGCAGCTCGTCCCTGAAGGCACACCATAGCCACTTTTCACTTCCAGCGCTGATGCCCTCTATGAAAGTGTTGTCCATGCCAACCTAGGTTAATTTAAATCCACTGTAGCATGAGAGAAAGTCATATGTTTTTTTGATTTAGTTGTACCTTTATTTTACCATTGTATTCAAGTCCCATTGAGATAAAAAAAAAAAGTGGCTTTCTTGTTTGGCTATTTAACCATTTGCTAAAGCACACAGTCACTGGCAAAATGAAGGCTACTAATGATACCAAAAGTAAAAATAGGCTACTCATTGCAGAGAAAAAATGGCCACTGTGATAAGATCATAGACTGTATATAAAAAGGATGAGATGGAGTATTATTACTGATCTACTGGACTTTAATTTAATCTAGCCTATTTAATATACTGCTGTGTACTTTAATCTATGCATTAAATGTTATAAATTTATCCCATCTGTATATACATCTGCAAAGTAACTAGCTTCAGCTGTCTGATAAATAAAGTGTAGAAAATGAAATAAGCTACTAACGTAAGGTGAGTCATTTAATATTTAATTTAAGTATAATAATTGAGCAAATGTACTGATGTATATTTACTTGGCTTCACCAGAGATGTTTTATAGAGTCTAGGACTTTGGCTTCACACGGCTTCAATGATATATTTAGAGAGTGACGAAGTTTCAAACGCATCAATTGTTGCATTACGATTTCGTATGCTTCGTCCTGAAACTGCGCGTGCGCGAATTCACAATTTTATTCCGGAAGCGAACGTCACTACCTGGTTCTGCATCTGACGTGTCTAAAACAGTTTTCCACTGGTGGTTTTACTCGTAGGGGATTTATTATCTATTTAAGTATTATCTGGTAAGATGTAATAGTTTGAAGAGTAGGCACCGGCACCAGGTTTACAGGCCCTTTCGTGTATCGTAGGCCTTCATTTCACCTTTTATCTCCGTGTTTGTTTTCTTTAAATCTAGGTACGCGGTGGCAAGATGCTAGATTTCTTCACCATCTTCAGCAAAGGGGGGATAGTTTTGTGGTGTTTTCAGGGAGCAGGGGTCACTGAATCTTTCACTGGGCCTGTCAACGCTTTGATCCGCTCCGTGATCCTTCAGGTGGGACATGATGGCAGGTCAAAATCCTGTGACATAAATCTCAATATAGTTCGGAAAGCTAACAGTTAACGTTAATGCTAACGCGAAGAGGTAGCAAGTGTTAGCTTATTGCGTAACGTTAGTGTACTAAACAAGACACTTTTGTGGCGTGAATATCCTAAAAATCTCCTTATTACGAAGTGTAAGCTGAATTTTGATGTAGTTTGTGCTAGAGTGACTTCTTTCACTTTGTTAGGAAGACACAGCAGGCTAGCTGTAACGTTAGCAGCAACAACATGTGTGTTTAACTGTTAGCTCCTGTTGACATGTCTGCGATGTTACAGGAGCGAAGTGGGAACAATTCATTTACTCACGAGGGCCTCAGTCTTAAATACAAACTCGACAATGAGTTTGAGTTGATTTTTGTGGTAAGTCTCTCAACTGCACACTGAATGAATTACTTTCAAACACCACTGAAATTTACACTGCATATCTGCAACTAGCATTCATGTTGTTTTTATTTTTACGTGCTGAAAATCACTCTTTCCCTGTTTCTGCCCAGGTGGGTTTTCAAAAGATCCTGACGCTGACGTATGTGGACAAGTTCATAGATGACGTTCAGCTGCATTTTAGGGATCGTTATAAGAATGAGCTGGAGCAAAAGGGGGCTATGAAGCTCCTCAACAACAACTTTGAATTCGAGGATGACTTCAAGAAGCTTCTTAGGTAAAGAGTGACTGTTTTACTCACGGGGTGATTTCTTGTAATACAGAACTAACTGTTAAAGCGCCTTGTGCCATAATGTATATCTTATATTTAAAAGACCAATGATTCACTCTGATGAACAATAAACTCTAGACACACAATGTCAGGAACAATCCCTGTACAATATCCTTTTTATTTATGTCTTCTCTGTGTATGTATATTGAGAGTAATGTAAGACTGGAGTCGAATTCCTCATATGTGTACACATACCTGACCATTAAAGGTGATTCTGATATCAAATCAACAACATTTAAAGATGCTTCGTTAACCACAATCTTTTCGCCTGCCCGTGCTGACATATTTCAAATGTTTACCACAAGAGAGACGGAGGAGAGCAGCAAAGCTCGGAGCCCCACCCCATGCGGACCTTTAAGCAGTCCGAGAAATCCCAAAAAACTGTGAAGTCAATGATTGAGACGAAAGGTGGGGACAAAGGCAAGGAACAGGGTGGCAAGAAGAATAAAAATACCAAAAAGGAGGGTAAGTGCAGTTGGAAGTGGTTGTTCTAAAATCGCTCATTCTAAATGGCTCATGTATCATCATTTCAATTCCACTCCTGACTTGATTTCATATTCCGATGTCTTCCAGCTCCTGAACCTGTCAAAGCGGATCAAGGCAAGGCCTCGTCTACTGGGCAGAAGATGGTTGAGAATGGTAACCAGGGCCTGACTGCTGACGAGGTCATGCAGAAGAAGAGAGAGGAGTTCTTTCGCAAGCGCTCAGTGTTGCCTACTGAAAAACCAAGGTGAGATAAATGAATGTCAGACAAGATATAGTTAAAATAAATGCCTTTCACACAGGTGTATTTTGATTTGACTTGGCTGACTTAACATCAGTAGTGTTGAATCAGCTTGCTGCACACATTTGTATGTTGTTGACAGGCCAACCAGACTGTGGTTCCCCCGCATCACACCTGTAAAGTTCCATTACAGTAATATGCACCGTTTTGATCCCCATGTGGAGAAATAAGAGAAATTGCCCTACTTTAAAGAGCATTAAAGCTTAATTCTGATTTTCTGTCATCCTACTCGCAGCAAGTCCCCAAAGCCTCAGAAGCCTAGGGAGAAACAAAGGCGTGTTTGGGACATGGGTGGTAGCAGCACCAAGGAGCTAGACTACAGCGGGAGGAATGGCGATGGTTCACCAAATGATGGTGAACAGAACCAGGAAGCACAGATTGACCTGGTATGTACCCCCTCTCCTCCACTCCACTTAAGAGGTTTCTAGTTGAAGAGAAATATGAGTCACATGACTAATGTTAAAATAAAGGGCCTGTGGCCAAGTTGTTGATGTCCAATTGTGTTCCAGGGGATGCAACTAAGCTCAATGAAGGGTGACCTGCTGTCTGTGGACTATGAGTCCAGTGAGGAAGAGGAGATGGAGGAGGAAGTGGAGAGAGTGGTTGTCAGTGAAACAAGCAAGACAAGGTAAGCGAGTGTTTGTTGGAATATTTTTTAATGGTATGTTATTATATATGTATGCTATTTTTCCAATTCTCTGACATGTTTTGCTTTTGTGTGTCAGATGTGAGTTGCACTGTGAGTAATTGCCCAGCTTTGTCTGTTGATTTCAGCTCCAAAAAGGGTGGTGGTTTTGGGGGCATGTTCGGGATGCTGAAGGGCCTTGTGGGGTCCAAGAGCCTGACCAGGGACGACATGGAGTCAGTGCTGGAGAAGATGAAGGACCACCTCATCGGTATGATCTCAGATCTTTCTCTCTCACTAATCCTCTTGATTTTTTGGGGGAAACATTTAAAAGTTCTAAGTCTGCTATTCATTCTTCTCCTTTATGATCTTATAGCAAAGAATGTAGCAGCCGACATTGCCTCCCAGCTCTGTGACTCTGTAGCCAAAAAACTGGAAGGCAAGGTCATGGGCACATTCACCAGTAAGTAAATGTTCCCACTATAGATCCTCACCCACTTTTTAAAATTATTTTTCTTTGGTGCATCTTCTCTACCTTCAATTGTTCTTCTCCGAGCGCACCAGACTATATCTAGGAAAAGTAATATGATGATTACAGTAATGCATTTTCCCCAACATTGTCTGTATGGATTAGCACAGTAAATTGATTAGAAGAGGATTGTGTATTGTATTATTTTATGTTACCATATTTTATTTTATAATTATCTGTTAAGTTCTCTGTGTGTAGAATTATTTTCATTGTACAGTCTTGTGTTGTATAATGATATATTAACTACCTTGAAGAATAACATTGGAGAAATGCATGCTGGGGGACAAAAACAACTTTTGTTGTGTGTGTTTGTAGCTGTGGCCTCAACAGTAAAGCAGGCCCTGCAAGACTCACTGGTACAGATCCTGCAGCCAAAGCGAAGGGTGGATATTCTGAGAGATGTCATGGAGGCGCAGAGCCAGCGAAGGCCTTTTGTTATTACATTTTGTGGCGTCAATGGGGTTGGAAAATCCACCAACCTGGCCAAGGTGAGCGGTCATTGTTAAAGAGGAAAAGACATCAAAGCTACATGCCACTATGTTCCTGTGGTTTGGTAATTGTTAACCCACATGTGCACCCAGTCCTAGCCCTGGAGCTTGCTTTACTGTATGGGTTTGGCCTTGTTTCGTGGTCATATAGCTCTGTTAGTAGAACATGGGATACATTTCACACAGGGGTTGCCTGTGTTTGAAAAACCTGCACTGATTTAAAATGGAGTTAAAATTACTTTGAAATTCTTAAGTAAAAACATAGTTTAAACTTTGTTTTGACTATTAAGCCTGGATAGCTAAACCAGTGCACCTATGCAGCTTTTTATTTAAATTGATCCTTCAGTTCAGCACTTGACCTAAATTTTAGTAAAAAGAAAGTTTCCATTTACCCAGCTTGCACCCCTGCTGTGTGCCAGGGTGAAGGGTTTGTGGTGGAATTCATTAAAATTTCTAATTAGATATGTGAAATAGTTACTATAATCAGTATAAACGCAGTAGGTAAAAGTAGCAGTTTCAACCCAGATTTACTAGGGTAGTGTTACATTGATCAAACTCCAATTCTAGTTTGATCAGTTGTGTTGGCCACACAGACAAAATTAATACTGAAATATTGATTTCAGGGGTACTAACATGTTATGACACTAAGGGTGGTTCACAATGAGCTTGTTTAGTCCGGTTGAACCGTACAGTATGATATACTGCTGATTTTTGTAGGTTTTCCTACTTACAAAGCATGTAGAGGGCTGTAATTTTTAATCATAGGTACACTTCAACTGTGAGAGACGGAATCTAAAACAAAAATACAGAAAATCACATTGTATGATTTTTAAATAATTAGCATTTTATTGCATGATATAAGTAGTTGATACATCAGATTTGGTACAGAAACCTTTTGATTGCAATTACAGAGATCATACGTTTCCTGTAGTTCTTGACCAGGCTTACACACACTGCAGCAGGGATTTTGGCCCACTCCTCCATACAGACCTTCTCCAGATCCTTCAGGTTTCGGGGCAGTCACTGGGCAATACCGACTTTCAGCTCCCTCCAAAGATTTTCTATTGGGTTCAGGTCTGGAGACTGGCTAGGTCACTCCAGGACCTTGAGATGCTTCTTACGGAGCCACTCCGTTGTACTCATCCTTCTTCTTCCTCCAAACACGGCGAGTGGAGTTCAGACCATAAAGCTCTATTTTTTCCTCATCAGACCCCATGACCTTCTCCATTCCTCCTCTGGATCATCCAGATGGTCACTGGCAAACTTCAGACGGGCCTTGTGTGCACTGCAGGATTTTAATCCATGACGGCGTAGTGTGTTACAAATGGTTTTCTTTGAGGCTGTGGTCCCAGCTCTCTTCAGGTCATTGACCAGGTCTTGCCGTGTAGTTCTGGGCTGATCCCTCACCTTCCTCATGATCATTGATGCCCCACGAGGTGAGATCTTGCATGGAGACCCAGACCGAGGGAGACTGACCGTCATCTTGAACTTCTTCCATTTTCTAATAATTGCGCCAACAGTTGTTGCCTTCTCACCAAGCTGCTTGCCTATTGTCCTGTAGCCCATCCCAGCCTTGTGCAGGTCTACAATTTTATCCCTGATGTTCTTACACAGCTCTCTGGTCTTGGCCATTGTGGAGAGGTTGTAGTGTGTTTGTTTGAGTGTGTGGACAGGTGTCTTTTATACACGTAACGAGTTCAAACAGGTGCAGTTAATACAGGTAATGAGTGGAGAACAGGAGGGCTTCTTAAAGAAGAACTAACAGGTCTATGAGAGCTGGAATTTTTACTTGTTGGTAGGTGATCAAATACTTATATCATGCAATAAAATGCAAATTAATTATTTAAAAATCATACAATGTGATTTTCTGTATTTTTGTTTTAGATTCCGTCTCTCACAGTTGAAGTGTACCTATGATAAAAATTACAGCCCTCTACATGCTTTGTAAGTACGAAAACCTGCAAAATCAGCAGTGTATCAAATACTTGTTCTCCCCACTGTACCCTCTTGATGTGGTTTGTTTGGGTTGGTGTGAATGCGGGACACAAACTCTGGTGCGGAACAAACAAACCTCTTTGGTCCGCCATGAAAGTGTGGTCTCGGACCTCTTTCTGTGAACTCATTCATTTCTGGTGTGAACACCATACGAACCAATCACAGAAAGCTACCATTTTATGTGTCATTTAAAATAGTACTTATTTGTTATTACTGTGCTCTTTAATGTATATTTGTTATTTATAGTTATCAGGATATGTTTTATTACCAAGTAGGTTTTCACTATTTGCCAATTTGCCTTGGTGTTTGATAGATACAATAAACATATTAAGAGGAAATCAAAATAAAGACCTTTTGAGTTTTTGCCTTTTATGAAGGCAAACCTGACCAGGTGGAGTCCAATGTATCATCCTCACATTGGTTTGATTGAGGAACCGGACCTTTAGGTGTGAACCACCCTCAAGTATTGAAAAGCACATGTCAAATGCAGTCAAATGTTTAAAATAATTATGCATATTGAATGTTTGACCAGCTCTAGTCGTCAGACTTCTTGCTTCAGAGTGTAACTTATTAGTGTTCATTTGTTACACTTTTCCCTCTCATTGTGTCCAGATTGTGTCCTACTCATGTTCATGTAAATCAAACCTCTCCCTCTTGGTCCAGATCTCTTTCTGGCTGATAGAGAATGGTTTCACTGTGCTGATCGCAGCCTGTGACACGTTTCGTGCTGGGGCCGTGGAGCAGCTCCGCACTCATCAGCGGCGCCTGAACTCTCTGCATCCTCCAGAGCAGCACGGAGGACGGCCGGTAGTCCAGCTCTATGAGAAGGGCTACGGGAAGGATGCTGCTGGAATTGCCATGGAGGCCATTGCCTATGGTAAGATGATTATTATTTCCTGTTGAGTGATTATTAACTGAGCTGAGTTTCATTATTGATTCCACCTACGTGAACTGCACCTCAGTCGTAAATAAGAGGTGTAGAGGAGCGCAGGTGGGAATTTAACACCTGCTCTGAATCTTGTGCATGCTACAAGCTATTTTCTATTAATGAGTAATGTCCCCCATGTGGTGAAGTCACATAGACCATTTTGGTGTTTCATGCCTCCAGCTCGCAACCAGGCCTTTGACGTGGTGCTGGTGGACACTGCAGGGCGTATGCAGGACAACGCCCCCCTAATGACAGCCCTGGCCAAACTCATCGCCGTCAACATGCCTGACCTAGTGCTGTTTGTTGGGGAGGCTCTGGTGGGCAATGAGGCAGTCGATCAGCTGGTAAGACCAACGGCAAAAGTTCAGACACATCATGCACCGAGAGGAAATGTAACAAAGGAGAAAGTCAGCTTCTTTGTAACGTGAATGAGAATTAATGTTTTCCAGGAACTCTCCAAATCCTGTCAATATATTAAATGTCATTATGCTGCTACAACTTGACTGAAGAAGGGATTTAAGTTTTCTGAGCTAAAGCTTCACCGCATACATACAGACCTGGAAAGTAGCATGTGCATTACTTTCTGTCGGTCAGTCAGATTTATGCACACACCGGAGGCTCCTGTTCACACGTCATCAACCGTGATGACTAAATAAGAATGCTATGCCGCCTCTCCAGCAGAGGTCAGTGTTGCTCCACTGATCTGCTGTCTTGTTAACTAGTCATGATTACGCAGATGTGTGTTCTCTCCTCCGGTACACTTTGTAAATAGTGAGATGGAAAAAATTGTACAATACATATTACCTCTGTTCATCGGTTCCCCCATGAATTACTCAACTTTCCTTTCCTTGTGTCCTCAGGTAAAGTTCAATCAGGCACTTGCAGACCACTCCATGTCTGACAAGCCTCGCCTCATTGACGGAATTGTTCTCACTAAGTTTGACACCATTGATGACAAGGTATTTGACTATTTTTTTTTCTTCTGTATATTCCCATCTGGCTTTTGTCATGTGAGGTGGCCTTAAGGTATCGTTTGATGCAGTTTTTCTTTTTTAACGACTTAGGGATAATTTGCAGCCCGAAACTTGATAGCACTCACGCGTCATCCTGCCTCCCTCACAGGTTGGCGCTGCCATCTCCATGACTTACATCACAGGCCAGCCTATCGTGTTTGTGGGCACGGGGCAGACTTACAACGACCTGCGCAGCCTCAACGCCCGCGCTGTGGTCGGCGCCCTGATGAAGGCTTAACTGGCTGCATGTTCTGCTGTTTATTCATCGTCACAACGAAGCCAACAATACCTTCGCCATGCTGCCGTGAGGTGTTCCAGCCCTGCTAACCCATGTTTCTCACCCTCCTGTTCGTGTGTCTCTACTTTGCATCAAATGAAGAACCCACGCACAGGACTTATTCTCCCAGTAAAGGACATACAGAACATTTTGCAGCAAAGCCAGAGGGGCCTCCCTTTGCATCCTTTTAAACTTTTGACCCTACATTGAAACGTACCTCAGACCAGACTGAGTTTTGAAACAATGAAGTCAAATGACAATTTAGCTGACTAAATGGACCTAGGCTGTAAATGTCATCAGTTTACTGATTTACACAGTAAAAACCTAAAAAAAAATCCCTACCTGGCATTTTGTCAGTCAGTTTTCCCCTCTCCATGTAAACGAGGTCAGGTTGTGAAGGCTTGCTGGATGTGGCATTTCAGCAGCTGCCTGCTGCCTGAGGAAAGCTTAGTGACCATAGTGCCTATGTCTCCCGTCTTCTTAGTTAACACTTTCACTACATGGGTGATTATTATCCATCGAAAGTACCACGGCAGTTCAGGTCAGAAACCGCTCCCTCTTGACTTGAGGAGCAGCCTGAATGTGTTTACAACATTGAATTATAAAGTGGATAATGAATATCAGCATCATATTGTGACGTTACTAGATGTTGGACTCCCATGTCAAGAAAAACTAATTCCGGATGGATTGTTCTGTGAAAGTCATCTCCCAGAGCTCCCCGCCTGCCTAATGTCATTACAAAATGGAGACATTGATTCCCAAGTTTAGAGCTGATGAAAAGTGGAAAGATATTTTCTAAGTTAAATTTTTTTTTTTTTTAGTTCTTACAGGTTGTCCATAGATTGTCAGACTACAACTTCTGTGGGGTCAATTGAACGGTTTCCCCCTTCTGATTGACTTTTCATTTGTAAGAGGAACTATACGTCTTAAACATCTCTAGCCCCCTTTTAATTTGTGGTAGTGCAATACGAGAGAATCAAGAGTTATACAGAATATTTGAGCTAATTTATGAGAATGTTAACATTTCTAAATAAAGCTGCTACATGCTCCGACAGCCTGTAAACTTTGAACTTGTTCTGTCATATGTTGTAGGACCACGTGGACTGTTGCCCCATCACAGGCTGCTCCAGTATCATCATTGTTAGACATGCAAACATGACAGGACAAATGTGATACCAAAAGCTTTATTTTGAAAATAGTACTTATAAATACTATGTCAGAAAACACAGGCAAGTATTAAAAATACAAAACAAAAAGCCTTACAAAGAACATTTTCAGCACAGGAGTGGCAAAGTGGTGGCTACTGGCTGGGAGCCTCTCTGCTATGAAAACATACTCTTCCGAATTCTCGAACATTATCATCAACAATGTGTTTGCAAACCAAGTAACCATCCATGAGATAATCATTCTACTCATCCCCCACCCTAGTAGTGTGCAAATCAAGTTTTCCTGGTTTCAGGGTTGAACATGACAGATACAATCATTACATATCAACACAAGTCTGTTTTCAGTTAAGAGTATGTGATGTGCGTTACAGTTTGCAGGTAGGTCAAGCCGATGCAGTTTTGTGTAACTGCATTATTGTAAGTCCAAAACAATGACTCAAAGCAGCACAGTCAACATCTGTCAGCTGGTTCTGATCAATCATTTCTGTTGAGTTGAAGTGAGAACATACCATTCCATCATCTGCATATTGAACACTTCTCAAATGTGGAGCAACATTTAAATACAGTACAGTGGGATTGTGAGGTTGGGTATTTGGCGTTGACAGTTCAAAATTCTCCTTTCCCTTTTAAACAAGAACTACTAATGGAAAATGATTGACACCTGTAAAATACATCTTTCAGGTCTCCCATGGCGACCGTGTGCCTGTCAAGAATGATAGTCTGGGGCAAAAAGAGAAGGAAGGGACTTAAGTGGACAGTTGAGAAACAAAGGGCGTCAACTGAAATGTTGCCACTGACTGCCACGCATGCAATACTGCAAAGTCAGTTTGTATCTTATCTGTAAAGGTATACCAGCAGGTCTTTTGATACCGAAGAAAATAACGGACTTGAATTTTCTATCTACCAGCATGCAGTAAGAAAACAAAGAGTGTTGGACAGTGCTTTATTGTATTATTCTGGAAATGTCTCTTGCAAGTGGCCACTGCCTGAAGTCAAAGAGAAGCATTCAGTCCTAACCTTGAAGGAGGCTTTTCTGTGTATTAAAGCCGTTCTGCGCTTCCTCCCCAGTTTGTGTGGGAGAACCTGCAGGTAAAGATAAAAAAAGACATCTGTAAAATGCAGGCAACTCACAGTCTGAAGAATTCTGGCGTTCCAAGAGAAATCTGCAGCATTTAATTTGATCTTAGTCTCTGCTTCCAGACCAGTTTTAATGCTGCAACTCTGGCTCAACCTGTGCTGTAACGTAATATCCACTACACTGAAGCATGTCCTACTTTTCTTAGCTCCTTTTCTGGAATACACTAAAAGGTCAGACACTATTTTATGAATAGAATAAACAGATTAATTTTCCATTTGACTAACCTAAAGTACTCGATGAACAAACTAAATTCCACAAGTAGAATGAAGATACTTAAGTTGCCAAACACAACAGTTAACATTATAAAAATGCATTGCTGAGTGTTTAATTAGTTAATAAGTATTGTATCAGTAAGTACTGTTAAATGACATCAAACTATCTCAAACCTCCCTGCTTTGTGTGACAGCAGAAGCAAGCAAGTATGGAGTGTCACAGTGTCAAACTTTTAAAAGAGTACCCCAGCAATTTAGTGTTGCACTTCCTTTAAGTTGGGGGATCATAGGAGGCTGATTAAAGAAAGTCTCAACTCAACAGCATCTTTATTTAGACCCTGGCTACGGTCGAAAAGTCAAAATAATTTGCTTTCCTAACTACTTTTTCCTGAACACGATGAAAAATGTCACAAGATTAAGGAAAGATGAGAAGGTTAATTCATAAGAACTCAGGAAAAGACAACCGTGGTGCTCAGCAAATCGGACTGCACTTACTCTAAGCTTTTAAAAAAAACAAACTTAATATAACACGTGGGAGACCAAAGTACAGTGACAAACTTGCGCAAGAACCACACCTCTTAAGAGAGGATGATTTCAATGTAGGCGATTACACAAGGTACATTTAACCATCAATTAGGTTACTCTTGGAAGTAACAACAAAATAGATGGCTGTTAAAAATAATAACAAATACTATTGAAATGTTGAAATTAATATTTATAAGGCAATATACAGGTAAAGAAAGTTGATCCATTTAAATAATAATTTAATAAAAATAAGGAAATGAGCAAGGGGCTATAGTAAATTATATTCAGACAAATATATAGAGTTTCCTGGTATGGGCGCTATGACATGTTTTATACATTTGTTAAGTAGAGAATCCCTCCATTCCACATTTATGTGTAAAGTATTTTGTCATGAAGATGATATTGTTAACTAGAAATTCAATTTGCTTGTTTTTCAAGTTTCCTCTGGATGGATCTGACTGAGAAGAAATCTCTATTTATGGTTTCGGCGCTCAGCTAATCATACGAGGATATCCATACGTTTTGGTCGTGTCACAAGCATAAAACAGGTGCTCTGTTGTTACTACATTTACGTGGGTCAGCTGTGGTGAAACTACAAGGCTGTGTCACTTGAAATGTTGCTGCCGGAAGAAATTTGTGGGACAGCATTATCTCCTTTCCTTCCGTAAAGGATGGTCCGGTGTACCCTTTTCCAAAGGAAGCAAGAAAGGAAGCATTGAGGCACCTTTCCCTAGCTTTTAGAGAAATCGACCAGCTCTTGTCATGGCTGCCTCTAAAAAACTTACTGGTTATTTCACTCAGTTAGGATCTTTCCTAAGCAGAAAAGACTATTCGACTGCAACCCCTGTCTCCTGTCCCACCTACTTTTTTCACACATCACACCTCTAGTTTGAAATGCAGGCTTTCTGTTAAAAAATGTCTCAAGCCCAAGCTGCGATAACCCTGTTTTCCTCAAACTGTGGAAAGCTCCTTCTAAGCCACATATACAGCCAGTGCTTGAAGTGTAAAATAATAGGAGCCGGTACATCCCATTAGCATGTTGGCGTTTGTATCGGCTGGTCAACCTTTTTTTAAATGTCCTGCCCCATCCAGGTTGTGAACAGTTGGTTCACGAAAAGTGACCTTTCTGCATGCAGCTGAATGAAAGGCACCCGAGCTTATCCCTACTCTGTCTCCGCCTACTGAGATTAGCAGACAGCCGAGAAAGGGAACAGGTGAGCGTCACATAGTGCCCAAAGAACCTGATATGGAGGTACACCAAAGAGTAAAATGCAGAAGTGCCAGTACTGCCTACCGGTGATTACCAACTCACTTCAAGCACTGCATCCAGCCACACAGCTATTTTTGCGAGCTCTAGAGTACTAATTTTGATGAGTATACTGAACTTCATGTGTAAAAATTGCGGCGTGCCCCTTTAATACAGATTGACCTTACTACAAATGTACATAATCACAAGGCAAAAAATTATGTGCTGAAAGAAGTCCTCTACTACAAACTGTGACTGACTTTCATCCTTCTTACCCCAGCAAGTGGTAGACACGTCACGGTTGCAGATCTCATTGGCCAGCCTCTCGAAGTACTCAGGCAGGTCAGCATACTCGTCTCCATAGGAGATGACCTTGATGCCCTTGTCTAGCATGTTGTCCCGCAGCTTCTTGAACTCACCCACGTCCTCGCGGCGCACAAGCATGAAGTGTTCCAGGTCCGACTTGTGTTTGACTGCTTCCAAGAACAGAGCCTGGAAGGTTGTGTCGTCTACTGTGCGCCCACAGCCCAGAAACACAAAGGATTTTGTCTCATAAAGCTTCTGGATCTCACGCTGTTGAAAGCAACAGTAATATATTATTACACTTACACAAACGCCACCATTTCAATTGCTTCAAAGTGCAGGGACGGAGGCAAATATGGTACTACAACCTGCATCTTATAATACCACAACATTTACACTTAAAAGGACCAGTGTGTAAGAGTTAGTGGCATTTAACAGTAAGGTTAAAGACTGCAACCATCTTATTACCACTCGCCTCACCTCACCCTTCCAAGCATGTAGGGGAAACTACGGTGACCACGAAACTCATGAAAAATGCAAAAGGCCCTCTAGAGCCAGTGTTTTGTTTGTCTGTTCTGGGCTACTGTAGAAACATAGCATTGCAACATGGCAGACTCACTCCCTCTGTAGATATAAAGGGCTCGTTCTAAGGTAACGAAAACACAATGATTCTTATTTTCAGGTGATTATATACTGATGAACACATGAATATTATATTCCATTTCTGCCAATATATCCCCCTAAATCTTACAAACAATGGTCCTTTGTGACATTTAGAAGAGAGTCTTGTGCAAAATAATGTCCTTTATCAGAAACATAACCATTACAGTGGACAATTTCAGGACTCACCATAACCTCTGTGTTCCTCAGTACATTCTGGTAGCCAGCAGGGTGCAGTACGATACCACTGGGGTTGGTGTAAACACCGTGGATATGCAGAACACTTAGCCTCCGTTTCTCCTGAGCCCACTCCAACACCTAGACCCACACACGCATACATAAACACATAACACAAACTTAACAGTCCACTGCACCCAATCCTGTTCTAACTGGGCAGGGAGTAACAGCAGTGAGAGGATATTAGCCCTGATGGAGGTAAGGCATAAATACCAGGACTGAGAGGCAAAGCGACGCGTCTCTCACAAAGGTCTTGACTGATTCTTGCGAATTTGTGTTCTATTTAACAGGTAATCAAACTAACTTTAAATGAACTAGCAAATAAATGACATGACTGAACAAGTGACATTTGGCTGAGAAACTGGTCAGAAGTGAAACATGCCTCGGTTGACTGGGAAAACACGAGTTTCTCCTTCAGCGAAGTCTTAAACCAAAAGCAAATATTGTTCAATCTATAAAATTCGACAGCAGCCGAGTAATGGCTAGACCTTCAAACTTCCTCCACCTGTCAGAGACAAAAGGCTCTTTCAGGTCAAAGCATTATCAATTTCCCCCGAAACTGGCCAATGAGAACTT